CTTGTATCTTAAAAGAATCTTATCCATTTGAAAAATAAATTGAATTATATTTTTTCATGTAGGAAGATTATCTAATTATCAGTTTTATGAAATAGTACATAGGACAGGTTAACAATGTCCTGCTTAATACTTCTTAACATTTTATTAGGATTTTGTTTTAGTAATTCGCTATTTAAGTAATAATGTTAATTAAACTATCAAATTAATTAAGTTTCACAAAGTTCGTTATTAGAATTTTGGTCCAATGTTTTCTATAGATTATAAATTATTTATATATAATTATGTTAGATAACGTAAAATGAACAATTTATTTCATATAAAATTTAAATTCCTTGAATATTCGTTAATAAAAGGCTTTATGAACCTTTATGATAATAAAAAGGACTAGCTATATGAAGAATACGTAGTTGGTCACGAACACGAAAAAAAAAAAAAAGAAAAAGAAAAAAATTATTGAATTTTTTTTAATTTTTCTTTTAATAAATTGAAAATACATAAAAAAAATATATTTATTTTTTTCAAAAATATTTAATGAAAGAAGGAAAAATGGTAAAATAAAAATCGGGAGTAAGATTTGTTACCAATAAAAATGAGATCTTAAACAGATAAAAGATATATACATATAAAAGAGCTTAACTTGCATAGCATTTACATTTATAATACGTGAGAGAAAATTTTATACATATAACAATAAAATTTTCGCGTAATTAATAATTAATATAATTAATTTGCATTTTTACTAATTGTTTATGTTTGTTAATTAAACAGCAATATATATAAATTGCTGAAAATAACTCACAACAAAGAAACAAATAATTTACATTTAATTAATAATCAATATTCAATAAGGATTTAAATTACTAATAAAAATAAGGATTTTTATTAATGTAAATAAATGTCTACTGAAATCAAAGAATGACGAATGAAGTAGATTACATAATTAAAAATCACCGGTTCGAAGCATATAAAAATATATATAAATACATCAAAATCATAGAAACAACTATACATGCTCTTTGTTAATTTATTTCATCAGTACTCTAGTGATGTCACCGAACATCCAGTTAATAAAACAGTCCTCTAGAATAGTTAACGAACACCCAATTAATAAATCACTTTATTAATATGTTTGATGAATACTATAGCAAAGTTATTGAATAAGAAATAAATAAATTAATATTTCAACTGAAAAATTAGTCATTTCAAAAAATAAGTAAATATATATTTTTTTTTTGTATTTAAAAATTAGAAAAAGAAAACAATGAAATTAACAATTAATTTTTTTTTTTTTTTTTCTTTTTTGAATCTAGAATATGCATGTATAACTATATATTTTCCATACAACTATTATTGTTTATTATCAAAAAGGTTAATAATACATTTAATAAACCAACATGAAATTGCTAAGTAAAAAAAAAAAGGAAAAAAATTAGTTAATATTTTTTTTTATTTTTGTAATTTAAATACAGAAAAAAATAAATTTTTACTTTTTTTTTAAAGGAATTTAGTGATCGAAAAATAGAAGAAAATGTTAATGACTAATAGAGCTTATTGTGGTGTATTTTTGTTTAAATTTATTTAAGAAAATATTATATTAACTATAATAAAAATTTTGTGTTTTGTAGTACTTACGTAATTTAATTTGAATTTTTTCAATTATTTATGCTTGTTAATTTGTGAGAAATAAATTTGAATTGTTAAATATAAATAATAATATAAGTAAAATAAATGTAATTAATATTTTATTATTTTCCTATTCATTACTTTGCTAGAGTATTGAATAAAAGGATTAATAATAAGAATGTAGAGTTTCTTCTACCATTTAAATGAATTTAAATATGTTTTTAATACTACAAACCATTGAAATGTATATGGTCTCCTTCATTGAGCATTTATTGTTTTTAAGAAGCATTTAATTATTTTAATAAAAATCCCTATTTTTATTAAAAATTTAAATCCTTATTAATTATAGTTTTAAATCACATGTATTTTACTTATAATGTTATGATTAATATTTAACAATTCAACTTCACTTCTCGCGAATTAAAAAATATAAATAACAAAACACAAAATAAGTTATACAGTACTACAAACACGAAAATTTTATTATTGTTAATATAAAATTTTCTCTTTAAAATTCAAAGATAAAAATTTTCCACGAAAAAACTTCTTATCATGTTTTCTTCTATTTTCTAATAACTTGAATATTTTTTTCACACTGTTAAATTCTTTTTTTTTCCATTTATCTAGTACTTTCATGTCTGTTTATTTTCCATACAGCTATTAATTTTTTTCTCAAAAACGCTAATAATTCCTTTTATTAACAAATCTTTAACTCTAATAATTCTCAATAAAGACCTTTTTTTTTTTTTCCTTTTGTGTGTCCTTTTTTTGTCATGTAGGTAAGCTGGTAATAATTCTGCATCCAACTTTTTTTATTCTATTTTATCCTCTATATTTACTGCCTGATTTATTTACTATCCATAATTTACATTTTTAATTTATTAAATTGTCATTCAATGAATTTGCTATAATAATGAAAAACAAATTATTAAAGAGAATATGAAGTTTTCTCTAGTAATTAAATGGATTTTAAATCTAATATTAATGATATAAACAAATAAACTACAATAATGCGGTTTATTGTGAATTTACTTTGATAAAAATATGTATTTTTATTAAAAACATATATTCTCATTAATTATTAATTTTTAAGTAAAAAATAATTATTGCTTTTTATAAGTAATTTTCAGTAATTTAAGTTCACTGCTTTTAAAAATAATAAAAATACATAAATAATAAAAAAAAATTTTAATTATATTAATATCACTTAACGAAAATTTTATTCTTAAAAATTAAAAAATATTCTTATGAAATTTTTTCTTTCTAAAAAATTTTTCTCTTTTAATTTTTTTTTTTTTTTAAAAATAAAATATATTTCTATAAAAAAAATTTAAACAAAATATTAATTTTTCCTTTTCTTAACTAGATCTTGTGCATGAATAATCCTATATTCTCTGCTAAACCATTAATTTTTATTCTCTTAATGGCTATCAAACCTACAAAAAAGAAATTTCAAAATATTTAATTTATTATTTTTTTTTTCATTTTTTCCCTGATCTTTCTTATATTCGGATTCTGTTTTATTGTCTCCCATCTCTTCCTTACATTTAGATAAAAATTTCTCAAATTCTGAGTCAATTTCTTTCATAATACTATCAATTTTTTTGCTTTTTTCTTCATCTGAAATATCACATCGACGAGGAATTAAATATAGATCTTTAGCATTCGCAGCTGTAATTTTATTAATTTCAACATTCCATTTTTTGTCTTTCCATTTAGAGTCCATTCCACTTGTTTCTTGATCAAATCGCTTCCACATTTCTGGAATAATGACCTTATTCCATTGATCGTACGGATCCTTGTATTGAACCGGATTTTTACCTTTTTTTTTTTCATTATCTAATGGACGATCTTTTAGGCATCCTTCAGTGTTAGTTTGCTTTTTTTCTTCTGTGTTACCCTCTGTTAATATTCTTTCATATTTTAACTCATTTTTTGTTTGCAATATATTTTTATCAATCAATGTTATATAGGAATCATACTATGAATTAAATAAAAATTAAAACAAAAAAAGAATAAAAGCGAAAAAAATTTATATCAAAAAAAGAAAAGATATGAAACAAAAATGAAAATAAGGATTGCGTGTATTTTCAA